CGAGTATAGCAGGGATTGTGGGGCTGGTGCGGGATCGGGCAGTGTTTCGTTCTGCTGTGCATGGGGTCGCTATGAGTCGGAAATGACTCGACGGCACTTAACAACAACAACACCAACAACATATTAAGAAAAGGAGAAGCCACAGTGAGGCAGTATTTGTCAGTGAAACAGTATCTGAGAAACTTCTTTGAATTCTAATCTTTGGTTTCTCAGTAATATATCAGTTAATGGTCAGAACTGATTCTTAGACTAATAACCTTGATGTTAAAGTCTAAAAAATAAAAACATGCAGACATGATAATGATGGAAATTCAGAAATCAAGTTAAATCCATTGTTAGTGTCTTAATTCTTCAATCTTTTCTAAGAGTCAGTCACAAAAGACAGTGATGCTTCCTACATGGTCTACCTGACAATGACAATTCACTGCCATTTGAAAGAACAATATCCAAATTGCGTACCGTGTTTGTGAATAAACGCGAGTCCTTGCAATATCTGGTACATGATATTCCTTATAGCAGACTCAGGGAACAACTTATTTCTGTATGGGGCAGAAAAAAAAAGTTACAAATCTGGGTTTACATATGAAAAAAAAATTCCTCTGTTTTTAGTTCTTTTGATTATATGGAGCAAGAAAATAAGAAAACATTTGCATACATGGTAATCTTTGATTTGCTCTTTGGTAGTAAGGAGCAAGGAAAAATACATCCATTTATCCTTACAAGAAAGGTTTATGAACACCAAACACATTCAGTTATGTTATAATAGTAAACAAAGGAAAAATTCCCTCCACAGACCACATACTAAAATAAAAAAAGAAAGAAACAGAAAAGACCTAAGAAACTCCTCTCCTGATAATATAAACTAAAACTTTAAAAAAACATTTTAGTGGAAGAAAATTTAAGGTCTTCTGGATGAAGGTGTTGTAGAAATACAGTGGATAATAACATCTTTACCCTGGTTGGGCAAATCACACAGCTTTTCCGCTGTTACTGACGAGGAATATGACATTTGTTCACTGAAATCACTCAGGGAGATGCTATGAATGACATTCATTTTGCCACTAGGAAAATGTGCCCAAGAGGCTTCACGTGGCTCACTTTTAAAGTTCAAAATTACCACACCAGGTAAGTTTATTAGTTTCTTCTTCCCAAGAGGCAAACCCCCAAGCACAGTAGCAAGAGAAGAACTGAAATAAATTTGGGAGCTTTCAATGGTGGCTTAGGAGAAATGAAGCCATGTACACCCTTGACTGTCGCTACTCTGTTCATATGTCCTTGTGAGAACGCAAACCTTCAGAGTGTGTTAAATTTCTGAACTTCTTTGGGTAAAATATACCATTAAAACATGAAAATGACTATCTTGAAACTGCAGTGAAACCTGTGAGAGCCAGAACTCAACAAGACTCACTTATTTTTCCAGATTTTGCAAGTTTTCCACCTTTGACAGGGTATAGTTTTACCACTTTTCCGTTGCCTGCTTTTGTGAGAAATATTTGCATTTTCCCTCTCTGACAGGTTTCTGCCTTCTACAGGTTTTACTGTAGCTTCTATGAAGATATCTGTTATAAGCCCTCAGTGTTAGGAAGATGGGTCAGGCCCCTCATCTAATGGGCAACTTCAAACAACAAAGCCTACGTAGCATGACTGTTAAATGATTAGAGAAAGTCTTGGGAGACTGTACTAAGCATCCTTTTTTGTAATATTTATTTCTAAGATCATGACCAAACTGTACCTTTCTTTAATGAGCTGATAAAGGTTTTCCTTCATGTACTCGAAGATAAAATAAAGATGATCATTTTCCCTGATAACTTCTTTCAATTTTACTACATTAGCATGGTTGAGCTTCTTTAAAGACTGAAATAAGAGGAAGAAAACCATGAGAAAAAATCTGTTATTGAAAAAGAAAAGTAATCCTACTTATGCTTTGGAAGAAACACTTAATTCTAACATCACAGAAATGCTATTCACCTACATCACAATTCGTATTTTACTGACAATTTAATGAACAATATTTCTCTAAGATAAATAGTAACTTTATATAGAAAAACTATTGTGATAACTGACTAGATGGTAAGTACTTCACCATTAACTGGTATTTCCTGGCTGCCTCCAGCACCAGGCAATGCTCGTGTGGGCTATCTTTGACCTGCCCCCTCCCAATGATTGAATTCAAGCTAAGGCAGAATTGAATTGGCCAGAGGGAAGCCAATAAAGGAAGCTGAGGCTTTGAGTTTTATAGCATTGGAGAAAGCAGTTGCTTTGAGCTGAGATCATCAGCCAACAGTCTGCAGGCACTTTGAACTAGAAATTGTTCAAAGAGCCTGAGGCTCTGGCCTGATTCTCTCAACTTCCATCTGACTCATGTGTGCCCATGACCCATGTAGTGCTCCTACTTACAAAGGGAGTTTTAATTACACAGGATGGGCTCAAGAAGGAGAAGTCTCACAGCAGAGACCCTGAAGCGAGATGAGAAATATCCCTTGGCTTCTAAGAAGAGCAAAGACAGAGTCAGGCAGAAGATGAGGAATAAGAGGGTGGCTCTGAAAATGGCACTAAATCTCTGATTAGTCATCTTTCCTTCCACATGTTATGGGAGGGCGACTCCACAAAATCCAAATGGGTTATTGTCTTCTGGCAAGAAAGAATTGCTCACAGAGACTGAAGTGGTTTACAGAGAGCAAGCCTTTAATGAAACACAGCACGAGGTTGTACAGTGGGACAGCAACCAAGCATATATACCATGCCAGCTGGACTGCCGTTTCACAGTTGGCTTACAGCAATTATAGGAGACAGAATGAGGAAGCTATACAAGTAGCCAGTCACGTGGGTGGGATTTCTAGCTTTTGATGGTCTGGTCCTCCAGAATGATCCAGGCATCTGTTTATCTGTAGTTCAAAGGGGGCTCTGTCAAGGACCTGCAACAGTCTAGCAATTACATACTTTTCTAATTGAAATTTTTCCTGTTTTCCCATTCCTATCAATAGGGGTAACTGGGAGCTCTGGTAGCATAGTGGCTAAGACACTTGCCTGCTAACCAGATGGCTGGCGGTTCAAACCCACCAGCCACTCCTCGGAAGGAAGGTTGGGCAATCCTACTTCCGTAGTGATACTGCCTCGGAAACCCAAGGAGGGGTCGCTATGAGTCGGGTTTGACTTGACGGCACATAACAACAACAACAACAAAGTAGTTAACAAAAGAATATGATTAACAACTTCCATTCCTTACATTTGACCCTAACTCACTATCAGCAGGGGTAAGGTAATTTACAAAGGAATGTGACCTGACAGCTTCCATTCCTTACATCTGTCCCTACCTCAAATATATGCAGTTTTCTTCTTTTTGAAAAATACACGTGAGTATAACTGTGCACATTATTTTCTGCTTGCATCGCTAGTGCTATTGATGGCAAACAGATTTTTGTATTGTTATTGGTATTAGGTACCGTGGAGTTGTCTCTGACTCTTAGCAATCCCTATGCACAGCAGAACAAACCACTGCCCGGTCCCGCACCAGCTCCACAATACTTGCTATACTTGAGCCCATCACCACAGCCACTGTGTCCATCCATCTCGTTGAGGGCCTTCCCCTCTTTCATTGACCATCCCCCTTGCCAAGCATGACATCCTTCTCCAGGGAATGCTGCCTTCCGACAACACTTCTTCCAGGACAGGTTTGTTAGTTCTTTTAGCAGTCCAGCATTCTTTGATGGCACAACTCAAAACCATCCACTCTTCTTCGGTCTTCCTTATTCATTGTCCTGCTCTCATATGCATATGAGGTGATTGAAAATACCATGGCTTGTGTCAGGTGCACCTTAGTGATCAAGGAGACATCTTGGCTCTTCAGCACTTTAAAGAGGTCCTTTACAGGCATTTTCCCAGTGCTATAAGTCTTCTGGAGAGCTCTGGTAGCATAGTGTCTAAGGCACTTGACTGCTAACCAGAAGGCTGGTGGCCAGCCACTCCTCAGAAGGAAGATAGGGTAATCTACTTCCGTAGTGATACTGCCTCGGAAACCCAAGGAGGGGTTGCTATGAGTCGGGTCCGACT